TACTAAAGATATTAAAAGAAGAAAAAAAAAAAAAAATGAAGTGTCATCGCCTTCACGCCAACATAACAATTTCTTCTTAATAGCTATCTAAATAATTTAAAATGTCTTCACTATTTTCTATTTGATTGAATAAAAAGGAAAAAATGATTGCGACCGCTTGCGTAAGTTCCACTGAAATCACTTGAGTTGAAAAAGCCCTTTGTTCTTTCAGGGCAGTATTCTCTAGTCAGCGCCTTTCATAACCTTGCAGTATTGCATCTCTATTAAGCATATGATATCAGATAGTGGTTGTCTTCTCGTTTCGCATAAGCAAGGTTATGGTATGTTGTGGCGAGAGTCAAATTTCATAATTACTATTACACTTTGCCTAGTGATACTTTGCCTACTGAAATGTTTTTTTTCCCATGTTCTCGCAATTATTGCCTTTTAGCTAATTGGGTTTTACTCAACCTTCGAATTTCGTGTCAAGAATGTCTCTGTCAGATTCTGTTTGTCTCGGCCGAACAAAAAAACCGACCTATAAAAGGACGGACGGACGGACGGACGGACTTATGGGTTGTTAAAAGAGCATAGTTAGACAAATAGATGAACTATGGAAGTCTTGTGGCGAACAAAAATGTATGCACACATCACGAGATATTTCGGTCCATCGATATGTCTGCAATTAGTGAAAAGGCTTTGGCCTTTTTTTAATTGCTTTTGGATCCATACTTAGCTTTAAGATTAAAGGTCAATTTCTTATGTTTGCCGTACTGGCTCTGTTGCATTATTCCTTTTTAGAATAAGTTGCAGAATTCCTGTCACCGAACCAATTGTCCAACCTAGACGGAACTCTGGGTTTATCAACGAATTGATGTATCGACTGCAGGTTTCGTATTTTAAATGCATTCTCCGATCGAATTAGTTAATAAATCTAACATTTTAGCTGCTTTCATCCGTCTGTTTGGCAATGCTTATGTCCCATAGTATTGATCTTTTATAACAATTGCGGATATTACGAAAGTTTTCTAACAATGTGTGAACTCATGCGGAAGCATGTGACGAAAACGTGTAGTTGTTGAAAAACTTTACTTTCGAAAATTCATTTATTTTATGTTTTTTTCACTTTTATTTGAATTCAAATTAAAAATAAAAGACTCTGTTGAAAGGTTTCTTTAACATTTTCCGGGCAATCAAAGGTTTTCTTTAAGCTAACTTTTAACTAAAGCGTATTGCGGGAAAAAGTTATTTTTAAAACAGTGGCAAGTAAGAATGTGTATGAGGTCGATTGCATTTGATGCTCTTTGCAATGAATATTTCATGATGTTCGACTGTCAAATACCTACTTAAGGTGTGTTTTGTAAATGGCATTAAATTGCGATTCTTGAAAAACTGTCCCGCTCTATGGTAAGCTTCATATCAATACTAACTTAACTGAGCTGGCTAAGCTGCTGCTAAAAATCTATTTAGAGTAACATTGGAGTCCGTAAGATTTAGGATTGTGTCTCACTAGCTACACTACTCTTATGGGTTACGCCTTTACGAGTAGTTACTTTTCTACCCGTTACCGGAATCAGATCATTAAATTTTTCAAATTGAATCAACTTACAAATCAACAAATTTGAGACTCGATATGCTCGAATGGTACAATATTGGTGGGTTCGAAAGAAATCATTGTTATATAGCCAGCGGATTTATGTCACATCCAGAAGGGCTTGAAACAGACCCTCTTTTTATGACTTTTTATAATGACAAGCGATTCAGAATTATTGTCGAAAATAATCTTCTCTGACTGCATATACGTCTGTCCGTGTTGTGCTCTTGTACATTGTTTAAAGAAGATTGCAATTTTTGAGATATTTTGATGAAATTTAGTAAACCGACATATTTTACCCCAAGGACCAACGCTGTTGAAAATGATTCGGATCAGACCACGTTTTCGACCACCTTCCATACAAGGCTTTTGCAAAAATCCTTACATGCATAAACTGTATGAAGCGAAATGGGCATTTAATGATGGGCTACGGCCTACTGGAACATTTTCTCTTCATATTCAAATTTCTAATCAATTAAAGAGAATTTTCTTTTTTAGATTCGCACACTTTTTACACATATCTCTTCATGTTGAAGTAGTTTTTAACTAACATCATAATAATATTTAAGCAAAAAATTTAATAAATGTTAAAGTAACGGCACTTTTTATCTTTATCAAAAACTGGATGGTTTAGTGACCGATTCTCTGTCATTAAAATGAAAATTGTGAAAATTTCCATACGATTTGTAAACGATGTATGTTCAGTTAGTGAACACATCTGTCGCACATCTTAACCCAAAATTTAGTAAATATTCTTACTCGTGCTCTGACAACATGCTCTCTCATCGTGTCCGCGCTCGTAGTGAAACCAAACAAGCATAATTGATTCAATAATAATAACGAAAAAGTGCAAATATTGATCGAAGAGCTACGTTTCTAAAAGTGGATAATGTCAAAGGATAATAGAATATCAAAAAAACAAAAAAAAAAACGCAACTCATTTTTCCTGCGTGCATAACATCAGGTAGCAAAGGGTATTTATTCAAGATTTTTGTTTGCATTACATTACATATATGTGTTATGTGCTAAGTATCGGAAAATTCATTCGAAACCGTATATATTTTCATCTTTTATTTACTTTTCCTTTCCAGACACCTATACGGTTATGCATACACATATATATTTTATTAACATTTATGCATCGTTGTGTCTATGTACACAGGTGGATAGTTTAATCAACAGTATACAGTTATAAAAGTAATGATAGCATTACAATAATTTTTTTTCTTTCGTTATTGCTTTTATATATATGGCCGTGAGGAAGGAAGCAACAAAACTATTACCTTACGAGTGCACTAAAAGTGCATATGGTCTGTAGTTTCGTACTTTCAAAACAAAGCAAAAACATTTGACAAAAATTCTCCAGCTAAACGTTAAAGAAGAGAATAAGAACTAAAAGTGTTCTCAAGTTTACAAGTGCGTGCTTAAAATTATTATTATTGTTGTTGTTATCATATTGTTGTTTTGTTAGTTTTTACTTCTTTTCGTTTCTATTTTAAGTTTATTGCAGGGCAGAGTTTCTTTCTCTAGAAATTTGCTAAAAAAAAAAAAATAAAAAAATAAAAAAAAAAATGAACATTATATATATATATATACAAACAAACATATATACAATATTTATACATACACATAATAAATTCAATTGGATCATACATATATATAAAAATCTTCTTTGAAATTTCGTAAAAGAAAGTAAAAGATCTCGTTACATAATGCAATTAACTATCAAATCAACACAACTACAATACATTTTTATACATATGCACATTTTCCATATATATATTTTTCATTCTGCATATGCTTCTTCTTTCTTCTTCCTATTTATTTAAATTTAAAAAGTCCACAGCTACTGACAGGCCAACTTCTTCCGAATGTTGTTTAATTAATGGAAAACTCAAATCGGATAATTAGAATATTAGAATTAGTATACAAAGGAATTTATTAAGTAATGGAATATTTTTACAAATTTTTAAAAGCAAAAAAAAAAAATTTCAATATTTTTTTTTTCTATCAATATTCAATAGAATATTTAAGGGAGTGGAGGACATTCAATAGTCGTCTTCCTCTTAATGTAAACTTTTTCCTCATTTCTGTGCGAAAATATTTCTTTAAAACTTTTATATTAAAAAAAAGGAAAGTTTTTTTTGTTGAAACTTAAACTCGAAGTTTCATATTGTTTAAAACTTTTGTTTACTTTAGTATTTTGTTATAAATTTAGACATATCATCAGACAGAATATTCTTAACAACAAAACATTGCTGTGCATGCTCATACGTATGACTTAAAGGATAAACGTTACTCTTCATGTAGCATGAAGCACACAACGATTTTTGAAAAACAAAGCGGCAAAGATTCAGGAAATTATTGGTTCGACTTCAAAAGCTTCTAACAAAAATGTGTATATTATGTTGAAAAGAAATGGTAAATATCGAAATTTACAGCTGGAGTATGGTGGAGGGGGGGGGGGGGGGGGGGAATACTCATATTATCACAATGTTTGCAACATGACCCCAAAAAAGCTTTACAGACCCTATAAAGTATGTATGTTCTTGGTAAGCCAGAATTTCTGATTGCATCAACCCATGTCTGTATGTCAGTGTGCTATACGTTGCTGACACTCTCTTGGTCGCAAAAATGAAGATATCGACTTCAAACTTGGTAGAAATAGTGGAATTATTTGTTGCTCCGCAGGCTGGTATTGAAAATGAGCCAAATTGGTCAGCACACAAGCCCGCAATAAACCGGAAACTGAACGCAATTCCGTTTTGCTAAACAAAGGTTTATGATTTTTTACCCACTAGTCATACATTGCAAAGGATGGAAGGTTGAAATTTTCCACATATATTTTACGAAACAATCTACACTTTGCAAAAATGGAAAAGGTTGGTCATCCCCCCCACACAATGTTAGAAGTGATTAAATTTACTTTTTCTCCCCTCTTTTCACGTTTTATGCTTATTAGTCGTAAAGTAAGCAAGACAGAGTGTTTAAAACTATTTTCTACACTCCGCAAATCAAGCTTTATTATCTACCTAAAAATGAGTTAATTCGAAACTGAATATGGTAGACACAGCGATTAAGTTTTTCTTTCTTTATAATACCAGCGACATGGGAATCAAATAAAAAAACTTGGAGATATAATGCGAAAAACATAGCGATGGGTATGGGTAGAAGATTCGAGCCCCGCCCAATGTAACTTTCTCACTTGATTTATACCTAACTTTAAACTACGTTATTCCATATGATATTTTAGTTTAAGTAAAAAAATAAAAAAGTTTAATATAACGCCATACAGCACGGTAAGGATTGACCGTGCTAAGCGGGGAACGCCGCGTTTATTCTAAGAAATGAAGCAAAAATAGAATTCAGAAAAACAATTTCCGAACATTTCTTGACTTATTAAAAAAAAAAATTGCTTTCTTTGCAGGTTATATACGAACCAGTATTGTGCTGCTGCAAAATTGCGTCCTGATGCTTTGAAATAACATCCGACTGGCAATAAGTAAGAGGAAAATTGAAAATTAAATACACATAGTTTTCACACAATAATCATGAATGAAACGGAGTGATCGGTAAGTACAATTGCATAAATTCCGGGGCTTTAAGTGAATATTTCTTAATTCTGCCTACAAATCGCAAATTATATATAATCTCGCAAACAAGTAACTGAAGCTTAATATACAGATGAATCCAAACTCTTCATAAACGGCTATAACAAATAATTTTTCACAACATATCAGAGAAAATTTAATTTTATGCGGTGTATGATGAGGGCTTAAAAAAAAATATTGGAAAACTTTGCGAAATAGAGAGAAAGCTCTTTCCGAACAAGACATAATAATTGAATTACATATGGATAAATTTTCAAACTTTCAATTTCTCAGTTTAAGTGATTGGAGGAATTGTCGAAACGTGGCATGGTTTAATAAAACTCGTCGGGGTGAAAAACGCGCCTATTCTTGAGATAAATGGCTTCGTAATCGCTTTCCCCACTGTAAGAAGATATTAGTGGTGAATTAATTTGTATTACCCTGTAGTTATTGCAACGACAGTAGTTCATTCAGGATGCTGGTAAATTGGCGATAGGTATTCCTCTTCTTAAGAAGCAACGTTTCCGATTTGCTGCATAGCTGGAGCCTCATGTTTATTTTATTTATTTGCCATCATAGAATTCGGCTCCTTTGTCCGTCTCCCTTATTTGCTAAGTTAGTGATAAAGTCACTATCATTTACGCTTTCGTCTTTGATCATTTCGATAAGAAAGATAAAAGCTTTTCAGGTGACCTAGACATTCATACACGGCGCAAAAAAAAATCGCACAAAACCAAAACCGAAATCGACCTACATCCCTCATAAATTGTGAATTATATTTTTCCGCCTACTTTCAAGGTGGATACTGACATGTCGTATCCTTCTTCGAACCTATTCTGCAACCTTTACATTTATCAGATTTATCAGTGTTTGATCTCAACAATTATGACCGTAGGAGATGAAAAAAAGACAAAGAGGCAGAAGAATGTATTCCAATAGCCTGAGAATCTTCAACTATCAAAAGAAATGTGCTCTTGCTTAGCGACGTAGTACACCTTGTATATACTAACAAGGCGGTTGTAACCGAATTTCCGAACTAATCTGTTTATCTGTGATAGTCTATGAGCAGCGAGCAACAGAGAGGGAAAGCAAAAGTGTTCAGTGTCTTTGTTACATAGGCGTGTGAGTTTTGCATACGTTTTCTTTTGAAAGTTTGGGTAATTTTCAAAACCTTTTGCAAGTTTGTAGGCGAATCGGAAATCGGATCGTGCAGACGGACAGACAGACTTGGTGCATTCCTAATTTGAAATTGGTTAAGAACGTATATACTTTATGGAGTCTTTGAAGCTTGCTTCGCCGCATTACAAACGTATTGGAAGAAAATGAAATGATGACGCGCTATAACATTGGGTAGGCATAATAAATTTTCACCATTTTTGTACAGGTGCTGCAGCATCGCGGAATATACTTTCAAATTTTTATACATTTATCGAGGTGTTCTTGGTTTACCTAGGCTACCTAGTTTACTGTAGACCTTGGGCTGGTTTGAAAATTTGAAGTCGATATTTTCATTTTTGCGGCCAGGAGAATTTTTACAAGAGATATTACACAGACTGAGGGACGGCCAGACGGACATGCTTGAGTCGATTTAGAATTGGATCCTGATCAAGAACATATGTACTTTGTGTAGTCTCTAACGCTTCCTTATGAACGTTACGAACCTGTTGACAAAATGAATATATTTCTTAGTCTTCGCTGATAAGTATGAAAATATTCGTAGTAAACAACAATTCTCATAGTAAAAATTCTTCCAAGCCGCTCCGCTAAGCAAGCGACCGTAAATGCAAGTTTTATCACGCAAATGATGTTTAGATGAACTGCACGTGCATTCTGAATGTCATAGTTAAATTTTTTTAGATATAGATTTTTTTCGACTGTTGAAAAGCACAAGAGATGAAAGAAAAGATAGCTCAAGACACCTAAGCAAAAACGCTTTTTGACATGATGTCCAATTAAGACTCGTTTCTTCACTCATTTACGGGTCGTTTTACCATTTCGTTGACTAAAAACGCAATTTTTGGTTTTTATTAGAGTTGTGCGAGACAACTATACGTATAAGGGTTGATTATCTGTAATATGTACTTCACTCCGAAACTCGTAAAACGGATCGCGTTGTTAAACCACAAGGTTGTTTTATTTACTACTGTGCATGCATTGCAATGATTATGGTGTCTTGTATCACTTCATTGCGAAACAACATTCGAAAAAGTCGCTTTGCGCTTTGAAGAATTATTTGAAAATTGAACGCGAAATGGCGTATATGCGTTGCGGGTATTTCACGAAAGCTCGAATGTCAATTAAAACGCGCTTTGGCATATTTCGAATGCCGTCATATAGAAGTTTAACCCGCCGTCCATGGCAATATCTGGCATTAATGACGGCATTGTAAGTGCCTTGGGCAAAAAAAATTTAAGAACAATAACTGACGACATTGATGAGCAGCGGAAAATCGTTAACTCGGCGATGTTGTGCAGTGTAGACAAGTTTGGCTACGTCCCCAACGCCAATAAATTAAGTAAAAAGAATCAGCAGAGCGGCTTACATATGACAATTTTTATCCTCGGGTGAGGAGAGGTAACCTTTGTAAAAATACAGTCCTATGAATAATAAATATCAAGCACAATGCGCAACAATAGATATTTATTGCCGCCAGTTGCTAAAGTCTGTCCTATTCGACGGATTGCTTTCAAATTTATTGTAATGCAAAATAAAATCATAATTAGTTTTAAAAATTATGGACCGACGAAATTATCGTGTCTTTAGCGAAATTCCGAGCGAATTTTATTCATTAAAAGCAATTGCGGAGGACATGTATTGTGAACTAACTGCTAGAGAAAAATATCTGGCTTTAATCGATTGGAAAGGCGTAGGCTAGTCTGCACGATGCTCAAGAAGCAGTTACTAAAACCGCTGGAATTACAGGATAGCAGGGGAGAGATGTTTTTAAAATACCATCTTTTTCTGTCTTTGCGGAATAATTTGTATGTAGGCTAATAAAATGCATTTCGAGAAAACTGACCAAAGCTGCTTGTGGTAGCGCCACACACTTGTAGATCGCTGGAAAGCTATTATAGGGAATAATGCTTAATAATCATAATAATAAATATCCCTTTCAAAATTTCATCAGCTGAAATGTACCTTTGAATTACGCATGAACTTATGCAAAATGCAGATAATAGATTAAATTTAGAAAAGTACAGATATTTATATTAAAACAAACTTTGAATCTCACATTGATTGGATACGCCCTAAAGTAAAGAATATTAAAAAAAAAAAAAAAATACTCCAATTTTTTTTTTAGTATTTTCGCTTTAAAGAAAAAATCTCCCCGAAATGCAAACGCTTAACTATAGTTTTATTATACTATGCAGTAAGGGAAATAGTAAAAAGCACTTAAATATACATATACGTATACATATGCAGCCGAGTTTGGATAACAAATATGTGAGATTTGATGCTATTACTTTTCTTTCGGAAACCCTCCCTATTTGCTTCCATGCATGACCTCAGTTACCTATACATAAATCCTCTTCGTTGTAATTTTTTTAAATTAAAATTGTCAGCCATTGTGTTATACATTCTATGCAAAAAAAAAAAAAAAATGACTTTTAATTAGCAGGCAAACACATGTGTATTTGCCTTGCTTTTATTTGTGTTTCCTCCGTTTTTTTTTTTTATTTTTTTTTTTAACGATTTTATAGTTGCTTGTTCGTTTGCTGTGTGTGGTTGCTTGCACCCCTGTGCGCTTTTAAAGTTTCCCAACGAGGCTCAAGCCTTTTAATACAACATAAATTAAATATTTTGTTGTAGAGCTAAAGGCTTTGTTTGTTGAAGGGATTGTTGCCTTACTAAGTAGGAGAATAGTTGAAATAAAACACAGAATAAAAATACAACTTAAGAAACGACGACAAAGCGTATTATGTACCTATGTAACGAAAGATTCTCATAACGCAAAAACAAAAAAAACAAAAAAAAACAAAAAAAAAGAGGAAAGAGAAATAGCTAAACTTGTAGAATATCCCTTATCACAAGAAGAAAAATTTAATATTAAAGAATTTTATTTTATTTTATTTTTTTTACTTTATTTTTATTTATTTATTTTTTCTTATTTCAATTTTTTTTTTTTTTTTTATATATAAAAAAGAAAAAAGAACCATCAATCATTAAATACTTTATCTAAGTCTTATGAATGAGAAAATGTCACCTTTTATTCGCTTTTCAATTTCACTCATTTCATTTTTTAAATGAAAATAATACTACAAAGTAATGCTTACACGCAAAGTGTCCTTGTATCAAATAATATATTCATATATGAACAAG